CATGGTGCACGGCAGGATCTGGAACAAAAGGCATTATTATTGTGGTATTGCGAGGACTCTAACAAAGGAAACAGTATTAAGAGCAATATCAGGTTCGGCTAACAATGTTTTCATGAACGAGAAATGAATAAAAAATAAAAATACATTGGAAAAAAAAATTTAACTATAGACGGGAATCGAACCCGGGACCTCCAGCATATGAAGTTCCGGGTGTCGCCACTAGACCACAACGCCATATGAAAAATACCGTTTTACTACGTGTTTTCTGTAATCGCTAATTGACTGATAAGATTCCAATCAACCTATTAGCGATCTGCTCCTAGTGACAATTACAATTTTAACCTACGTTTCATCTTCCCGTAGAGACCACGCAACTTTGCTACCAAAACTAGCCTTTCATGATGGTATCTCTTCCATTTTCTTTGCAAATTGTCACGTAGGTCATCGATTGGCTTTTAATTTGTTTTCTCTAAAATAAGAAATCTCGAATCAGTTAATTCGTGATAACTTTCGTATCCTACACTGTAGTTCATAGTCGGTAGCCAATTATTACAACGATTCACGAGTGATTCGTGGTATCCACGGAGCAAGGAAAAGAATTACAATGACCGCTGTGCAATCGGTAGGACGAGGTGGATGTCACCGCAACAAGCCCCGATAACAACCCTCCGAGAACATAATTATTTCCCACACTCGGCCCCCCACACGAAGTGGTTGAAAATAAAACGGGGACCCGGTGGCTTCCTAAATCACGGCGTAGTCGCCCTATTTCATTTCCTTTCGACCGACGCACGATCCTCGAGACGCGAGCGACGCTCGGAAGGGATGATACCAGGGCGTCGGGGTAATGGACCGAGCCAGAGGTGGCAGTGGATGAGAGACGAAGGGTAATTGAGAAGAGGAGATTTACTTCGGGGTCGAGAGAGGCCGCGAGAGAGAGGGTAGTTTACGGTGTTGCCCCGGATGGGGGACAGGGAAGTTATCGGGGACAGGAAAAAGGCTCACGGCCGCTTACGTGGATGAAGAGGGACGGTGAAGAGAGACGTGGTCGTATCGACGACAAAACTGTCGCTCGTAAAACTTCCTGTCGATAATATCTCCGACGCCTTTCGGGACCTTCGTATCTATCCGAGGTATTGGCGTCTGCGTTTTCGGCAGACATTTCCGACAGGCTCTACCCTCCGACCGGTTATCGTCCCCTATTCTCCGAGGAAGAAAGTTGCAGAGGGGTAGTAGATAGTCAGGAGAATTAATAGGCACGCGATAGCGACGCTGAAAGAAGCGTAAATTTAACCTAATCGACCAAATCACTCTGCTAGATTGCTCGTCCTCGAGTCGGTTGTGTTCAAACTCGAATTATTAACCCCTTAGAACTCGAGAGGTGCCCTTCGGTCACCATTTGATAAAATTTCAAAGATCCGTACTAATTAATGTGTCAAATTTAAGACAATGTAACGGTGTGCGAGGTATCGAAATTGTTAAGAATCAGGATTTATGGCAACGTCGCCATCTGTGTCTATTTGGTACATCAGGAATGACTATGGTGGGGCAAGCGGGAGACGTGCTTTTGTCTTTTGATGATCGACGTCACTAGTCTGTAAGAGTGCATGGAGAATACATTACTATCTCACTACCAAATTATTTCTTTTTATTACCACATCCAACTTTCCACTGTAATATCCAACAGAAATCAAATAATTCTATGTGTTAATTATTATACGAATTCTTATTTACTGCTCCATAAAATATCGTCAGTTTTATAGCAGAAAGTCTTTGAACTCCTGCTCTTCTTTAGCTAAAAAATCGTCGAGTGCAAAGGGTTAAATAAATGAAATAAGTAGGTCCTTCTCCATAGTTGTTATTTGTCGACTGGCTCCAGGTATCCTCGATGTGACGGTGAAGGGACGAAAGGTGAAGGAAGGGATGCGTTTTTCTGTCCGTCTGTTTTTAAGGAAATTGCGTAGAAAGATTTCATTAAAAGACGTAGAGGTAAGATAAGTCTACCTTTCCTTCATTCGAAGAGTTTTCTAAATTATCTGGATCGTGTATGAAATTTTCTAAATTTTCTAAGTTCGTTTGTTTCAATGCACATTTTTACTTCTACCTACGTTCTTTTCGTGTTTCAATTCGGCTTTTTGGTTTCATATTTTAACAGACTTATCCAACTTTCAGGGGTACTATACGTAATGGAGACTCAAAGAGTCAGAAATACCTTAACCGTTTGAGTGCCACGGGTCATTATTGTTTCCCAATCGATATTTGCCAAGCGGCGCGATAGCGCTTCTCATATTCCGCGTTCACCAACCGATTGTCAGCTTCGCAGCTCAGAGCGCTGGCACTTTTGGACACAAAATAGAAGAAGCGCGATCGCGCCGCTTGGCACTCAAACGGTTAAGGGATGGAAGTTACTTAAAAACGTCATTTCCGAATATTTCTTAACACATTGAGCACTGGTTCCGTGAAAACGTGGGTTTCTGAGTCTGTCGTTTGAGCACCGACCCCGTGAAAACGTGGGTTTCTAAGTTTGTCACTTGACTCTCGCCCTCACGATGACGAGCATTCTTTTCTGCTTGCGTGGATGTCTTACACGTCAATTTGCATCCACTAGTCACGTTTACGACAATCTGCATTTGTTATACTCCGAAAATAAAACGGATACGATGGTTGAGAAACAATCAAGGCTAGAATCACTCTCGAGCAGTGTATTCCTTAGATAGTACCTCTTTCACAGGTTCACGCTTTTTGTTGAACAATATAATAAGTCTTATTATTCTGTAACTTTTTATCCATATAATATGAGCGAAGATTTTAACGAGTATATTGCTGACCCTCTATCAGATTATTAAATACATTCAGAAGATTCTGACATACGAGTCGAGGACAGTGACAGCGATTTGGGTCCAAGGAGAATATCAAAAGCTGTTCCATTACAATATTCGAGTGATTCCGATGATTCTAGTAATAGCGAAATGTCCACAGAATGACGAATATGCAATCGAAATATAGTATTTTAAGAAAATGTATGAGTTTTAAATATTTTCTTTAGCTACTCGTTCGGAAGCAAGCGAATGAGGCCGGCGCTCAATGTGTTAACTTGTGTTCAATTTCGTGAGGGACTTAACCAAGTTGCATATTTGCTATCGTTACAGTCTTGTAGAGATGCATTAACCCTTTGCAATCCGGACAGATATTGTCAATCGCTCATCCGCTTAGTACCGTTTACATTCTTTTTACACTCTCATTAAATTCTCCAATGTCGCTTCTCTGAATACCACGAGCAGATGAAAAAGTGATCAACCGGAAATTCGCAAACGCGTCTCTCTTCGTGGAACAAGCAATCGAAGATACAAGTTTCAATGATCGTCTTCTAGAAATAAAGCAGGCGTTCGAGTGAAAATCCAGCGTGGAAATTCTTCAGATCCGACTCGACGATTTTTCGGTATTATTTGCTCCCGTTGCCTTTTCTCGTCGAAGAACAGCGAACGAAAAGGGACGCGTAATTCAATCGGTGCTCGGTGCATCGACGAGCAAATATTTTATTTAATCGCCAGGGAACTGTTTAAACGATTCTACGTTTCACGATTCGCCTTTCGTTGCTTATCCAGCCCGAGCAGCCCGTCGTTGAAGAGCTTCGACGAAATTGATGGGATCGCATTAACTGGGACGAACGGAGATTGTATACAGTTCTGGGACGACTTCTCGCGATAGATCTCGACGGTTCGTTTTTACGGCTCCCTTCGACCTCGTTCCTCGTCTGCGAGATGGGACATCTTCCGACAGGTGCGCGTATCGACGGCAACCCGACGTGACAACGTTTCTATCGTGCTACAGTGTTCGCGGATTCTGATAAACGATCGACGTTATCGAAAAGACGACTCGATGGATCCAACGAGATATTTGCTTCCGGTGTTCGGAACACGAAGATGGATCTCGTAATCGAGCTTAGATACACGGGCTGCGTTTATGGCAAATTTCCCAACGCAAATATAAATTTAACGCTATTGTCGCGTGTTAATTTCGTTAACGAAGCAAATTAACGCTAGTCCTCGATGATGGATGTTGCGTGAAGAACATGCAGATCACAGGATCACAGGTAGTCTGAGTCATTTCAAGCTCACGTAGGGTTCATCGAGATCGTGCCGCTGGCGTTGTAGGTTATTTAACACTAGAACTACCGATCTTTAGTGGGCACGTTTAACTGTAACATGCACAGATTATAGTAATTAACAGCGGTACGATGAATATGAGTGAATATATTGATTACAGTTCTTTCTTACTATGAGTTGGTACCAATTTTATTCTTAAAGCAGGCGTATGTGTCCGATGATTGCAAAAAGGAAAATTCTGGGACCAGTCATTTTCACTGGGTTGGTAGTTCTAGTGTTGAAGCTCACGGATTCGTTAAGCTCGAGTCATTGGTGTTGAAGGACATCCGAGGTGGTGTCATTAGGGTCACTTGAAAGTGGCAGAAGTATCTTGATCGATTGAAGATACCTCGGAATTATCAGACTCCACTTTATTCTCCTCTAGATGAGTAACAGCTGAAAATATAGATACTGTTCTCAGTAATGTTATTGATTGTTTAACACTAGGTTTATGAACGCTATCTGTATACCTATTTCTAAAGACACCTGTCAAATTGACAGGTAGAGGAAACCACGTGCCTTTTCTTTTTTAACGATTAGGTTAATTTAAAAACAATTATATATTATATTAACAGTCTTAGTATAAGTTAATTAAATCTGTTACCATCGTTATAATTGGAGCAACCCTTCCGTCAATCTAGTGTTAAACTATATCCACGTTTATGTTATTACTCAGGATAAAATGCAAATTGTACGTTTATAAATAAGCATTAGATAACACCGTTCGCAATAATACTTGCGTATTTCGAGCCTGCTTCGAACATGTAAAACTATTCTCGTGTGAATATGAAACGGAATCTCGTTTCGTCCGTTTGTCCAGCTCTTTCAATCTCCCCTTTATCCGTATTGTTCCAGAGGAATTCGATATCGCCGGCGGAACGCGAAAAGTACAGCAGGCCGCGATCACCTGACCCCCAGCACCACGACCACATGCCGCTGAAGAAGATGAAGAAGGAGCAGGACAAGGACATGGGCCATGTAGGTATCCAGGATGGTACTCCATGCCTCTTGATCAGTGGTATACCTTAATAAAGCCGTACACATTCTCCCCGACAGCAAAGCGATGGGGAAAAGAGCGACCAGGACCTGGTGGTGGACGATGCCAGTGAGGGGCCAACGAGTCCAACGGCGAACGGGACCGCGTCGCCAAGGGAAAACGGACTCGACAAACTGGGCCCGTCCTCGGTGCCTTTGAGCAGCCAGGTGAAGAAGGAGGTGCCGCCACCGTCGCCGAGGAGCGGCACCAGCAGCAACGCCAGCACACCCTCGGCTAAGAAGATGGAGGAACGGGAGAAACCGACCACACCGATCTCGAAACCTGTCACGCCTACGTCAGCAGGTGCGTCATTTGTTTCCAGACTCTTAGACCGGTGACAAATTTCATAGAGTACAAGTTGAGAAGACTTATCGTGACGAGAGATTCATGAGCAAATTGTAAGGCAAAGTGCATCGAGTCGCTAAATTTTTGTTGAAGAGAAAGATGAAGAGATGAGAAGAATATTCTCTGATGAAGTTACTGTACTAATGCACAGTATTACTATCATGCTATTAAGAAACACTAGTCTGAAGCATCTTCTTTTCCTCTAAGAAACGTTTAGTGACATCTGGATAAAGTGGGAATAATTATACCCCTACAAAAAGCTGAATATTAATACCTACTTTGTGCAAAACTCTGATGTAACATGGGAGCATATTTAGCGATATTGACTGTCAGCAGTTGAGAATTTTGAAGCATGTTGAACATATTCGAGTGCCCTTTTTATGTATCTTATTATTTGCTCAGTAACTCTTTCTTATATTTATTGACTGAAGTGAAAGAAATAGTATTTTCATTGTTATCTAGGAGGTGGGGAATAATTGTACATTTGGTGTTTTTTGTTCTTCTTGTGCCTAAGACAGAAAGCGACTATAGTATTTGCGACGGTATCAATCACGATGATGGAAAATACTTAGCAAGTCTGACGATGAATGTATGGTCGACAGGTGGTAGCAGCTCCGGCTCCGGTGGTCTGAAACCATCGAGTTCCAGCAAACCACTGGTCTCGGCTTCGGCGGTCGGCCCTTATCCGCCACACTATCCGCCGCCACATCAACCACCCGCAGGACCTCATGTGGACGTGCTGGGTTATCCCTCTGCCCTGAATGGATATCCCGCAAGACCGCCTCTTCAGCAACTCTACGATCCTCACGGAAGCATGAGGGCACCTCTTGGACCTCTCGGTGTTCCCGGTGGCAAACCGTAAGTGCTTTTCTCAGCCCTCGATGAATTCCTTACATTGCTGCATTGACACGTTGATTTTAGGTTATAAATCACGAGTATGCTTCGCTAAAGAATGTCCTGAAAAATGTACGTATGTCAGAAGGTTGGAAATAAAGAGGGAGGATTTAATAGAAAGAAGAAGATGTAGTTTTGTTAAGCAAAGAAATAAATTTGTCCGTATTTACCTTATATATTACCTCCAAATTGATAAACTAATGAAATTTCACAACGTCAAACGTTTTCTGTACAATTCTGCATAAATATGGAAGCCTGTCAGGTTATCTAGACTCATTACTGTCTCTACTTGTTTCGATATAACTTCAAATAATCTTCAAATAACCTCAAATAATTTTGGAAAACTTATGGACTATTTATTTATTCATTTATTTATCTATTAACCTAACCTAATCTAACTATTATTTATTAATATAATAGTGATAAAAGAACAGACAATATACATATATATTTACAAGACAGAAATGGCGTCTATTCTTGATTGACTAGTTTAGCTTGTCGTTCATTCTCCGAATCCGTAACCTGCAAACAGAGAGCAGAATTTATCGATATAATCGTTTGAATAATTCATCAGTCGTCGGCACTCACCCCGAAAGCAAGCACACGTTTTAAAACGTTTTAAGTGATTGAACATAACCTGTGTCGTTCATCAAGGAAATCAGCGGTAATGAAATTGGCGCACAAGAAGACCGTTAAATTTCTCTGTTTTGCAGAGCGTACAGTTTCCACGTGTCGAGTGAAGGCCAGATGCAGCCGGTTCCGTTCCCGCACGATGCTCTAATTGGACAAGGAATACCGCGTCATGCGCGCCAGATAAATACTCTGACACACGGCGAGGTGGTGTGCGCGGTAACGATTTCGAATCCGACTAAATACGTTTACACCGGTGGCAAAGGATGCGTCAAGGTCTGGGACATCAATCAGGGCGGCAGCGGTAGCGCGAAACACGTTTCGCAGCTTGATTGCCTGCAACGAGACAACTACATCAGGTTGGTTAAACGTTACGTTCGCACAACGTCACATTAACTTTCCACGCCGTCTGGCAAACGCGCGAGATTCGCCGCTGAATAAATTCTGATTAGCGTGCCGCCTCCCCATTCTCCGTCTACTCGACCGCCATTGCGGTCTCGTTTACCGACTCGCGATATGTGTAATTTCTACCTTTCGAGCAACTCGCTTGGTTAAGTGACTAGGTAGTTTGAAACGATGTTGCTGCCCTCTTATCTTGGCTTTGAACGCTGATTGCTTCAAAATTGAATGTATCAGAGGCTGCACTTGACAAGTCGACCCGTGTTAAACACCGGTGATCGACGTAGTCGATTGGCAGTATCGACTATGATCAACATACCGTGTAATTACTTTCATTTTTAAACCTGCCATTAGAATTCTAACTATTCAAGCGTTAGATGCTTGAACACAGAAGCTTAACCTAAAAACGATATACGCGATCACGGTATTCGTATTTATGGAAAGTTGATGTGACAATTATTGCTTGTACGAGCAGGAAAAAATTCACTAATATCGAATAATTCCTGTAATGCATATTTCAAAGGTATTTAAATTATTAATCCGTCCATTACGAAGTTCTTTTTTTAAATTTAACACGACATTGAATACTTGGAGATATCGATGAAATATCCTGCAAATATTTATTCTCATAAATTAATACTTTTTCCTTTTCGCTGAACAGATCGGTAAAACTGCTACCAGACGGCAGGACTCTAATCGTGGGCGGTGAAGCGAGCACCCTGAGTATCTGGGATTTGGCGAGTCCGACGCCAAGAATCAAGGCGGAACTGACGTCCAATGCGCCAGCCTGTTACGCTCTCGCCATCTCGCCCGACTCGAAAGTTTGCTTCAGCTGCTGCAGCGACGGTAACATCGCTGTCTGGGATATACAGAATCAGTCTCTGCTCAGACAATTCCAAGGTCACACGGACGGTGCCTCCTGTATCGACATCTCCGCGGATGGTTCGAAACTTTGGACCGGTGGATTAGACAACACTGTGCGCTCGTGGGATCTTCGAGAAGGCAGGCAGCTTCAGCAACACAACTTCACCTCGCAGATATTCTCGCTCGGCTACTGTCCAACCGGCGAATGGTTGGCGGTGGGCATGGAGAACTCGAACGTGGAGGTGATGAACGCCACGAAACCGGACAAATATCAGCTTCATTTGCACGAGTCTTGTGTACTTTCGTTACGTTTCGCTACTTGTGGCAAGTGGTTCGTCTCGACCGGCAAAGACAATTTGCTGAACGCGTGGCGTACACCGTATGGTGCCTCGATATTCCAGGTAAAATGTGCATCCAACTTGGTCACGCTGTGTACATGCGAATTGGAAATAGATTCAAGAAACGATGTGAGAAATTTTTTCCTCTTTCTTTTTTTCTTTTTTTTTTTTTTTTTTTTTTTTTTTTTTGTTGACTTAAAATATTTTCAATCACTCGTGTATCTATTTGCTCAGTCTGTTACATGTACTCGGTGTATGCACATATTATTATACTATATGCTGTTGTACTATCTACTGTTGAGGTTAGGTCTAGAAGCCAAGCTAATAAAATTCGTTTTGTTGCAGTCAAAGGAATCCTCGTCGGTTCTCAGTTGCGATATTTCTACTGACGACAAGTATATCGTGACGGGATCAGGCGACAAGAAAGCTACGGTGTACGAAGTGATATATTGAACAGTTAACTGAACGTTTCAACCTCGAGACACTGGATGTTGTCGAATGTGCTACGCTTTTATAATATTGGTGCATACAAGAGAGAGGAAGCAGGCATAGGAACACGAGAAGACGACAGCCTGTTCCAAGAATACGCACGAAAGACTTAGTAGAACACGGAAGTTGAGACTCTACAAAGTGTACTAAGAGAGATACTGTCTTTTTGTGAATTGATGAGTGATACGTTAGCGTGTGTTATATTTGTTAAATTTGAATCACGCGCAGCGGCTTCCGTGTTGCACGAGAGAGAAAGAGAGTGAGAGAGAGAAAAAGAAAAAGGGAGACAGAGAGAGAGAGAGAGAGAGAGAGAGAAAGAGAGAGAGACCAGAGGAAGCTGCGAGCCGAACTGAAGTTACATTATATAGATATAAATATATATAAAGGTGGCAGAACGTTTTAGCTATTTAAGATTGTATAGAACGCATGGTTATAAATAGGCCAAGATGACGACGACGACGATGCCGATACTGAATGGAACTGTGCGTGATAATGTTCGCTCGGATAATTATGTGATCCGCGATTGTGTTCGACTTCAAGGCGGGAAGTCGCTTGTGTAATATGTTACTAATGTAATATAGAGTTTTACGATAAAAATATCATTACGTGCGACTGTGAGAAATGCAAGGTGAAATGTTATTAGCATTTTCATCGCGCGTGATGTCCTCGTGCTTTACTATGGTCGACGAAAGAACGAACTGAGATGCCTGAAAGAGAAACTGTATGTACGGAACGCACCACGATCTAGCATGTAGACCTGTCAAAGTAGGAATGTGTGTGTCGTGTTGCAGAGTTCTACATAGTATATCACGCAACATGTAGAAGCAAGAATGTTTTAATCCGAGGATAGAGAATGTAGGTCTATATCGAACCGATGTAATTTCGATCGTGCTAAGATGTGTAAAGGGAACTGGGTTTTTGTCTAACCCTCGATATTTCCATTACGAGAAAGAGTATAAAAAAGAAAAGAAAAAAAAAAATAACCCTACCCCAAAATTTGTACTCGCATAGACGGTTCAGTTACGAATTTTTCGTTCTTTCGTTGCTGTTCTATATGTCGGTACTGCAGCTACCATTCGTAACTATATGTTCTGCGGTAACTGTGAGAAATTGCGAAAGGCACGGAAGAAGGCTGACAGGAAAACAATAGTACGTTTGATCTCTTGACTCATTTTCTGTATAGCAGACGCGCGTAAAACGGACAAAAGAGATGGAAATTTCTCCCGTCGTACCGTAATCGTTATCGCCAAAAGAAAAAAGCAAAAAAAATCCCTGTATCTTTTACAAGGCACAAGTTTATAGTACATCGTATCTCGTTCGCGTCTGATCGAAAATTCAGCTTGGACCGAAGGTCGGGAAATATTTATCGAACCAATCCACTTATGTTTCGCGATTGGGAATTTTATTACGATGAAATGAAATGTGATCATTGTGTAAATAACGAATCGTATGCTATAGAATTGTATTTGTGATGATCTATTTGTATCTTATCGATTTAATAACGAATCCGAATCTCTGATTTGACAACTTTCATGCCGGACTATGTACGATGTACTTTATGTATTGTACCATTCGCAAGGAAACGATAGTTTCACACCTATGTCCATACGTAACGAAATTCAAACGTACCCAATGAAGAATCAATCGAAGTATGAAACATGAACTTTAGAGAAACAGACTCACGAACGCGTACCATTACTGCCATACGAGGCATCAACGCTATATCCGTATCCACGAATAGAAGCACGCGGGCTACTTACGCTCCTAGGCACGTTTATTCGCGAGATGTTCATGCGAGAATATTTTTGTGACTGTCCCACGACGATCCCTTAGGTTTAATTTGTTAGCGACTCGATCAATGAGAGACACACGTACGTTGCGATTGAATTTATATCAGAACAAAGAAATAAAATTGCGCCAAGTACACGCGGTTAACGATTTCTTCGATGCCTGTGAGGACGGCGTATGAAATTAATAGGGTACTAGATAACGCGTTATTATTCGGATTTTGAACGGTAAAAGCAGGGGATGCATAATGGAGATTTATATTTTGTTACAGGAAGACAACACACGTTTTACATTCGCTGTGATCGTCGTAGAATCGACGCTGTATACTGCCGCAAAAATACGAAAAAAAAAATAAATAATAAAAAGATAAAAAAAATTGATACGAATTATATGTCGCAACAATGAAAAGAATAGGAAGAAAAACGTGAAAAAAAGCTGATAGATTTTCGACGAGCACAGCTCCGATGATAGACCAATAGAAACAACGATACCTCAAGAAGACTCAATAGTTAATTATCTCTTTAATGGATTAACTTGTACAGAATCGATATTCTTTTACAGTGAATAATTACGCATACCCACATACAGTTGCATACACACATTACACACAGACGCATTAGGAAGAACAGAGCGAAATCGTGATTCGACATCCGCAATAAAAAGTAAACAACTTTTTCTCCCGCGTTTCATTGGATTGTGTCTCCGTGCTCGCAATTTGTACTCCGTGTGTACGAAAGCGATGAGAAATATGCGTTTCCAGCCAGAACAAGAAGTGAAAAACAAAAGACAAGTGTTAATCCTTTCCAAGCACAGTTCATGTTGTTCCTATAGCTACGCGAAAATTGTTTCTTTCGACAATTAAATCATCTATATCTATATATGTGTGAAGTTTTATTCATTTCCGTTAACCCCTCCATTATTCCGTTAGGAAAAGTTTCGAACTATAGATCGATAATTAACGTTTCAACAATTCGAATTTTTTTGTAAATCGTATTACTACTTTCTGATATTTCATTCACTTCATTCACTTCACTATATTCATTTCTAGAAAACAATGGTAAAATAAAGAAATATAATTTTTAAATGTAAACGAGATTTTAACAAATTCGTTTGAATGTAAGTAGGTCAGTACAAATACGCAATAGATTCTTTTATAGATAGAATTTTTTCCAACAAAAAAGAAATATTCTTAATTTGCACTTTCCATTGGTGAAAAATTTTGTATTAATAAACGAAAAGTAGGATAGATCTTTCAGTTTGTATATATAGTGCAAATTGACGTACCGCTCGAAGTAAACATTGCGCGTAGAAGTTCAATAACTGCGTAGATAGTACCGCCACCACGTAGATAATTACTCGAACCGATAACTGCACTAACCTACTCGAATTTAGCGGAACGCATCAATATGGCCTCCGGTAGCTGGCTCGTGTGCCCGCTCGCTAATTATTTAAGTAATTTCGGAGAACGTGCGAATGTACGTTGAAATAAACACTTCTGCAAAATGAACATGTCAGTGGAGAAAAAGAAGTACCCATCGGCGCTACCAACAAATTGGCCGACCAGGGAAGAGACTTCGAGAAAAAGCCAAAATCAATTGTCATCTACGGGAAAGGTTGACGTTTATTATTACAGGTATGTGTGGTATTTGAAAAATTTATTAAATCTTTACGCGACTTATTAATTAACTGTAATATATATAAATTAGCAGAAACTTGTGATGTATGTTAAATAGTTTACAATCGATGCAGGAACATTTAGTGTCATCGATTCTAACCTCAGAAATATATGTGTTTATGGCACCACGCACTTTTTTTCTAGTCGCGGAGTCAGAAACGACGCATCGTTGGTACCACCGATAAGACAGACGGCATCCATATTTAAACAACCGGTCACCATTTACAAGACGCAGGAAGGAAAAGTGAAGGACATCAAACATGGAAATCAAGAAAAACCGAAACAGGTTAGTGTTGATTATTTATCTTTCTTATCTGTACATATATACGTACTAATCAAAGTATTACAACTTATTTTATCTATATTTCCTAATTTTAATGTTCGTTGTTGAAGGAAAAGATAATTTTTGAGTTTGGAATTACTTGTCTCATTCATTACATCATTTAACAAAAGTTCACAATGTATATAAAGCTATCATCATATAGTAATAATCGTATCATACTTCCTCCGTACATAAAAATATGCGTTATGTCATATGATGTATGATATCCCAATGTTTCCAATAATTGTAATAAAAGTCATTAGAATTTATGATTTAATTATGGCATTTAATGTTCCCTGTGAGTTCTCATGGTTCAATCATCAAATCATTCGTTTAGGAAGGAGCCGATAAAACTGATGGCAAATACGGCTCCCAAGATAAGCCTAAACAGGTAACATATTGTTCGATGTGCTTATGGAATCATTAATGATTATGTGTTTCATTTCTATCAATGAATGTACAATGTTTTGTACAAAATGTTTATGTGTAGCCATCCATAATTGTCAGCTATTTTAAAGGCAGTTATGTAGTGCATGTTTCGTTAGAAAGTTCCTTGTTGCGCAAACATTTCACGAAAATCAGAATCACAAGCAACATATCTTTAGTGTAATGTATAGACTATTAAGTTCTTTATTGTCATGTATTCTTCATCTCTTATCGATTGGAATATAATGCATTCAGTTTATTTTCTTGGAAAATTCACAACGTTTAACTCTATATTATCATTTTGCTTGTGCCATGAAGCAAATACATCTTGCTTTTGTGATTAGATTATTCTTATGCGTGTTAAGTACTATCATTTTATACACAATAATGTTACCATTTCATATAAATATTTATTATCAACCGTACCTAATCTGTCTTTTCAATCTTGCAGTTATTTTGGGAAAAACGTTTGGAAGGTTTAAGGGCATGTGATCCAGACGGATTTGAGTTCGACGCAATGGACTTACCAAAAAGTTTGAAGCCAGTGGGTCCGTATATTACGGAAGAAACACTGCTTCAAAGTGTTGCAACCGCGCTACACGTTTCGTCTCAACCAGTCACGGGACAAACGGGTTCGAAGACAGCTTTAGAGAAGAATCCCGGGGTATTTCTTAATCCCGATCAACCCCTCGTACAGGTAGAATAGATATTTAGATACGAAATAGGGTGCTTACCTTAAAATTAACTCGTGTTACGTGTTTAATACACTCACCCATATAATCAAACACCCTATTGCGGAATGTAAATAATTATGTACTGGAGGTTTGAAAGGGTATATCGACAAAAACAATAGTGACGGTGTAAACCAAACCTTTAACGTAATTATTACCGAAGTAAAATCAACAAATTAATTCGTACTTTGTTTTAGGCAGTCTCGATAGCTGACGAAGACATCAAAAGGCAAGAGGACAGAGTTGCTCTTGCAAGGAAAAAGCTACAAGATGCTTTACGAGCAATTCCTACATAAGTTGTACAATTTCTTTAGATGTATTTTAATTCGCTCATCCCTAGTCCTAAGTTCGTTATAAATTATGTCTCACCGGTTTTTGTAATAAATGTTTTGTAAAGAAAAACAAATAATTTAACTCTGTATATACTGTAGCATATGATATTATAGGATAACTAGTAACTAATTTTCATAAATAGCTATAGGATATTATATTTTAATAAGTTTATCCATTTATATAATACAATACCTTTATGGTGGTACTGCTCGGTAAATTGCAACAGACAGCAATCGGTAGATCTACAGAGTTATTCGCAATTCTGGGAAAACAGTTTCGAAACCGCGATAAAATCGTATTCAACGGTGAAAGAAGGGTTCGAGCAGGTCAGCTGCGCGCGGCCATAAAATCCAATTTCGCTTTTCGTTACGAGCTGCTGATAATACCGATGGCCAGAGTACCTTGGTCATTCGTCCATCTGCTCGGATTTTCGATGTATTCAGAAAATTGAGAAGGGTCGGTCACGAGAATTCGGCGATTCTTCGGGCCGCGGTTCGACATTATTGACAGAAAAGAAACTGCATCTGGCTTCACACGGACCGGAAACGAGGCCGCACGAAATGATCCCTGAAGTGAGCGGTTCCGCGCGAGAAAAAGTAGGAACATGCGTGCAGTCGAAGCATATGCTCTCTCGATACATTAGTCGCGACCATTAGCCAGACTTCGAGCACGCGACATTCTAACCTCCATAAACACATATCTGATTCACACTTTCGTTACGAAATACAAGCATGAAATTAAAACTGAACCTGAACGGAAACGATCTCTCAGCTCGTAACGTTTAACCTCACTTAAAAGAAAAGCCGACTGACGGTTTTAAATAATGGACTAGTCGAGCCTGGACTCGTTCGAAAGTCGTATATGCATACGTCGCGACGGCAAGCGGAATGGGTCAACTATGCAACGACCTTATGCGAAAATCCCACAGGACGCGAAAGTCATTGGCATTGACGTTGCAAGAACAAGCACGTTGATATACGTGCACGATATCAAGGACAACCTCCTGTCTAGTATATTCCCAAAACATCTTTCTCAGCGTCACGACAGTAGCTTTGTGGCGTGTAGTTTTGTAGGATGTCGTACGGCTGTCTGGGAATGGGTGCGTGCCCCGGGGCCCGCACAAAAGAATGCTCGGGCAGGTATACGGACGTCGGTTTTCAGGTAAGCACAAGCCAGGTAAGCCAGGTGGTAACCTCTTTTTTCACTCTGTCTGCCCTCTCCTCTGCCATTCTCCGAATCCCGACCTCCGTCCTTTTCTCATCATCGCTCAACAGCTGTTTCCCCGTTCGCGAAGGGTCGTTCTCCCTTATTTTCAACTGGCTGGAAAGATAGAGAGAGGGAGTGCGCGCGAGAGAAAGAGAAAGGGCAGAGGGAGCCACGATAAACGTCCAAGCACATGTCCCACTTTAAATCGTTATAATTCGTCGAACACGTTTTCAGATCCCGTCTAATCGGTCACTCTTACGTGTCTTCTCATTGAACGCGTACACTATGCGTGTTGTGCCGATGAAGGAAGTCTGATGGAGGATGTGACCCGAATATTCAGCACACATTGTCAAGGATACGTTCGTTTCATCCGACTTTTTAGCGTCGCCATCGAAGTCATGCGACACTGACCGTGGCGCTGTAATAAGCGTTTATTACGTATGATGGAGGACTGTTGACACTAGAACTACTACGTTGGTCAGAATAACTGGTTTTAGATTTCTTTTATTTTTTCCAACGACCGTAAACGTGTAATTACTTTTAACAAAATTAATTTCGACTTTTATCGAGACATATCTAGCAATGAACTTAACTTTCCACTTTCATCGAGTTATTTTAATTAGTGTTATCTATGGATACTACGTTTAGGTACATGCTAGAGGTCGATGGTTTCGCTGTTAATATAATGAATAGCTATGTGGATTTAAAGATACGCGATTGAAAAATCGAGCAGTTTAATGGAATCTATATCGAGTGGCTTGTAAATATGTATCTAGCATTGGGTTTTCATAACGATATTTCACATGAATATTCCTATCGCTTATCTGAGGATATTATCGGCTCGCCGCAGGAACTTTTGCGGACACTCTGTTATACCGTCCAGATCATAACAGGATTTATAGGCTCTTCTTTGTACTCCGTTCCTACATTTTATCACCACTCTTACCGTAAAACTATATTTCCCCGTAATAACATAATAATAACGAGGAAAAAAGGTACGAATAATGCTTCCTTCATAGAACACAAACTGTCATAAAATTACGTACAATTTAAAGTATCAAGCTACCCTGTGTTAACCTAAAACATAACCTAACCTCAGAAATAATGGTAATTTCAGATTCGTCATTGCTCGCCGAGCCTGCGTATTTACATCACGGAACTCGACGCTGTGTCAGCGTTTATCAACCAATAGATGACTTTGACGTAGATAAGCCTTATTACGGATTAACGTGGTGTACACTGCGAGCGTAGAGAAAACAAGGAGAAAACCGGGGATCGAAATAATTGGTTGACAGTTTGCACGGTTTATCGTCAGGAGCTAATTTTAAACGCTTCATATTTGCGAACGAAACGGTTCTCATCGGTGCATCTGTAGACATGTTTGCTCCGTTTTATCGAGCTTTATTAAGCACTTAACGGGCCGCGCGCGATCCCGATGCACCTTAACGCGGATTAATCGCGCGTTCTCGCGCATAAGCGTCGAAAATGCTGAAATGGCAGCGTTTTCGCTTTCGCGACGAGTGAGATAACAAGGCGGGAACAATCGAACGAGTTAAACTGTATTCGTTTCGCGTGGCCGTAGCCGGTGCCCGATAAAACTTAATCCCTGCTTAAACGCTGCTGCGGTTGATAGAATATGCGCGTTCGCGGTTAAACTTGTCGGGGGACTGGTAATCCGAAGCGAAAAGGACGTGTCGTTTTATTTCTCCAAGCTGGAATCTCTCGTCGGAATTCGGAACGGAGCTGTCGCTGCAGGCAGTCGCGATAGGATTTTCGCGTTTTCGACCCTGTCACCAATCGATCCTGCGATCGGAAAATCGAATCTCTTAGATCAAACTTGATCACGTGTCTTTGAATTTTCTTGGGGTTGGGTGAGGATCTCATGGGAAGGTAGATAGAGAGACAAAAGACGAAATTTTTATAATAATGAGGTAATTACTATCGGTGATACCACATGCTTTTTACTTTGTCTTCTTTCTCTGTGTTTTGTTGATCTCCTGTTCTTGTTTACTATCTCCTCGACAGGAGCTTCACCTTTGTTTATCTATAGTTTCTCAAAATTTCAAATTTGCAAATTTGCAAATGTAACTTATCAACAAAATACAAATCAAAGTCCAAGAATTAATTATAATATAGAATATAATAATTATAAAATTGGTATAGTATAAAATTCTCTTGAGCAAATTTCAATCTGGATTGCGGTGTTGCAGGAATCAAATTTTGGGAAATCTTGTAAACTACGTGTCTCGCAATTGATTTTCAATCCAAAAAGGCTAAGTGCATCTTTGCGAAAACCAATCATACTTTACGTACATTATGTATATAACATTTTTATACTATAATAACACGGCTAAAATGAAAGAAAGAACTTAAGCCCGGGAAGCTGTCTTGGACAGTGTTATAAGAAAGAAAATTGAATTTCAGCAAACAAGTGTTCTCTCCGTGGGTAAAGCACCTTAGCACGAGATTATAAAAGGTAACAAAAATTTATATTTCTATTTCCCACGTGTTCTCTCTCTATAAAGGAGTATATACATCAGCTGATTCCTGTGCTTTCATAAAAATATCAAAACAAAAATGAGAATAGGACATATGATAAAAATAAAAATTCACACAAGATAAGAATACAGAAACACGAATACAGAAAGGAACCCATAGGAGTCGAATTTTAATTTCTGTAAAAATCACCTATATTCGAATTACTCAAAGAATGATACGAAATTCCAAATTTACGATTATTATTTCCCACGCCATAGAAGTAAACAGACCCATAGACAGAAGAAGCTAAAGCACGATCAGAGACGATCAGAAATCACGGTTTCACGCTTGTCGGGCTATCTAATGCAATTTTAAGAATCTTCATCCTTCCGTGCACACTTGCTAGCTTCGCCGGGCGATTCTTCGGCGAGCTTTCGCGTGTATCGCAATTCCCCGCAGCACCGGGGACTAAAATTGGATAGGAAGATTCTATCTGGCACGTATCGCGGATTGTATCTCTGGTTATGTCGAACCGCACTCCCGTATAAATAGAAACGCCACTAGGTCCTGCTATCGATCTTCCGAGCGCCATTTCGACCAAGGATGGCCATATTGACCAGTGCACAGGCCGGCCAAGTGGCTGGTTATTGACTGAAAAGTGCTCGGAAATTTCTCCACAGGGTTATTAAATCCGTCCCGAACGTATGGCAAATTGTTCGTGATCGATGGTCAGTCGAAGCATAAAGACCGGATTAGCCCTTGGGTCCGGCAAACATACCTGAAGACCAAATAAGCATTCGGACGAACAGAGCACAATGGAACCCAAATTCGATGGAGTCCCTATGCTGGGTCTCGGTGAAGCTCAGTAGGCTTAGGCTAATCGAGAAAATTTCGCGATATTTGGAACTACCGAATTGTTTTGATGCACAGTCTGACATGTCCTGTTGGAGGTCTCAGTCCTATTAGAGGTCTCACCCTATCGGAGGCCTCAGTTCTGTCGGAGGTCTCAGTCCTATCGGAAGTCTCAGTCCTATCGGAGGTCTCAGTACTATTAGAAGTCTCAGTCTTATCAGAGGTCTCAGTCCTATCGAAGGTTTCAGTCTTATCGAAGGTCTCAGTTCTGTCGGAGGTCTCAGTACTATTAGAAGTCTCAGTCTTATCAGAGGTCTCAGTCCTATCGGAGGTTTCAGTCCTATCGAAGGTTTCAGTCTTATCGAAGGTCTCAGTTCTGTCGGAGGTCTCAGTCTTATCGGAGGTCTCAGTCCTATCGAAGGTTTCAGTCCTATCAGAGGTCTCAGTCCTATTAGAGGTCTCAGTTCTGTCGGAGGTCTCAGTCCTATCAGAGGTCTCAGTTCTATTAGAGATCTCAGTTGTGTCGGAGATCTCAGTTCTGTCGGAAGTCTCAGTCCTATCGGAAGTCTCAGTCCTATCGAAGGTCTCAGTCCTATCAGAGGTCTCAGTCCTATTAGAGGTCTCAGTTCTGTCGGAGGTCTCAGTCCTATCAGAGGTCTCAGTTCTATTAGAGATCTCAGTTGTGTCGGAGATCTCAGTTCTGTCGGAAGTCTCAGTCCTATCGGAAGTCTCAGTCCTATCGAAGGTCTCAGTCCTATCAGAGGTCTCAGTCCTATTAGAGGTCTCAGTTCTGTCGGAGGTCTCAGTCCTATCAGAGGTCTCAGTCCTATCGGAGGTCTCAGTTCTATTAGAGGTCTCAGTCCTATCGGAGGTCTCAGTCCTATTAGAGATCTCAGTTTTGTCGGAGGTCTCATTCCTGTCAGAGGTCTCAGTCCTATTAGAGATCTCAGTTTTGTCGGAGGTCTCAGTCCTGTCAGAGGTCTCAGTTCTATTAGAGATCTCATTTTTGTCGGAGGCCTCAGTCCTGTCAGAGGTCCTAGTCTTGTCAGAGATCTAGTTCAAAGCAATGATGGTGGAAACGCGAAGACCTGGTCTCCTATTCGCAGTGACAATACGTTTCCTTTCTTTCCTCTGCACTTCCTGTTTCTTCTTCCTCGAGTGCATCGAATGGTTAATTTTTTAGGTAACGGCCGGCAGGAAACGATCAATTTCAGCGAGATCGAGCGGATAAACGTCATCAGCTTGCAAGAGGCCTTTCGAAGGAGGCGTTGGTCCATCGCTCTCCACGGAAGAACAGCTGGGGGACCTTCGACTCCCAACTGCTATACGTAATCGATGTCGACTGACTTTCTCTCTCGTGGGCCCAGCGGACGAGAGCAGCGGAGGCCTCGCGTTTCCAGGCATGCGCTAAAAATCCTTTCATAATCGTCGAATTACACTTACATAAGCATTTGCTCGGACGCCGTGTTAGCCTAAATCCCTGTAGTTCCTTGCAGGAAGGAACAGTGGGCAGCTGAGGTGACCGAGCACGGGATGACCTGGCTGAGGATATGCAGGAAAGACGCGTTAGCCTAAATCCCAATAGTCTGTGGGAAGAAACGATGGAAGCCGAGACGATCGAGGACGGCGATGACCTGGCTGAAGATTGGAGAAAAGATGCGTTGGAGTTGAAGAAGAATCGTGACGAGGCAGATGGAACTGATGACAGATCTACTCAGGACTAGCTAGTTAGCCTGTAGGTATGTTTACCTGATCTAACTTGTAATGTAATGCGTACAGTTCCTTCTCTTTACAGAAGAAAATTAGTTCAATAATAGGATAAACGAGAACGCCATGAACCAGCTGAGGATTGGAGAAGAGATGCAGTGGAGTTTGACAAAGAAGCATAGATCGTTCAACAAAGCAAGTCTAACCTGATGTCATATCCTGACTCGTCCCGCTGAACAATCTTCGATCCTACCTGACTGGGACTCTTAGGTAGGCTAATTTATCGAAACTACGATACATACAATTCCCTCTTTGCACAGCCTGAAAATAGGGTGGACGAGAACACGATAAACTGGCTGAGGATTGGCGAAAAGCTGCATTCGAGTTTGAGAAAGAACTATAGATCGTTCAACGAAGCAAGCCCAAGTGATAAAACAGGTCGAACCTGATGCCTCATCCTGACTCGTCTCGTTGAACAATCTTTGCTCCTACCTGTCTAAGACTACCTACCTATCTAGTTAGGCCATAAATATTCTCAGGTAGGCTAACTTACGTACAGTTCCTCGGTGCAGCCTTAAAACGTGCTGACAGTGGAACGAATATACCTAAAGACGCGAGTACAATGCTAGCTAGAGCCATTGAACAGAATCCTAACTCACGAGTAGATCCATCTGATCCAATCTATCGTCCATTTAACTGGCAGGAATTCGTCATCGGGCTCCAACGAAAATACCCAGCGGATGGAACGTCCTGGCTGCATCCTCTGGCCCCGTTCAACAGCCTAAATGAACTTTCGTAACCCTCGCGAGCCCATTTCGGTATTTCTTTTTAAATGACGAAGCGACAAAAGCGCTCAGGACGCGAACCCCCAGCTGATCCTGATTTTCACCGACACTCGAAGTCATTAAACTTCCGTTCGGGACCCAGGTCGATCCAGATGCACACTCACACGTCCGTCAGGCTTCTCTACATGTACACGTGCACGTGGCCGCGTACACGCGAGGGAAGCCTTCAAGCTCGGCCATGGTTTCCGTCTGGCCTATTGTTCGTTCCGTTCCAAGCCCAGAAAAAAGTCGCTCAGATCGAAATCTATTGAACCGTCTGAAAAGCCAGCCTTTTCTTCTCCTTCGCCGCGTGCTCCCTTTTCTGCGTCCTTCCTCGTCCTCTTCCCTCCGCGTTCGTCCACTTTCCAATCCGCTTCTTCCGTCTCTGCGCTCTCCTGCCCGGGTCTCCCTTCGCGTCCTCGGCTACTCCCTTTCTGCGACTCGTCCCGGCGCGAGCTTCCCGAATTCGCCGCTAGGGGTGTCGCAAGGCCCGCCGCTCATAGGGAACCCGAGGCCTGGCGCTTCGGCAGCCGCGAAATGTCAAAAGCGGACACGCGATTCCACGCGGCCGAGTCGCTCTGCCGCGAAACGAGTTTCAAGGCGAGAGAAATTTCCGTCGATCGTTTTTATCCGTGAGGTATTATAGGTATAGGTCGATGTTGCAAACCCGCTCGGTCTCTTTCGCGGCCCCGTGGAAACGGGCTTGATGGTCGCTCGCACGTGGGAACTGTCCCTTTCGTTTGTCTCCCGTGGAATTCGACCGATTAGCGCCATGCAGCCAAGATTTCTGGGATAATTAGAATTATGTATGTGGCTTATATATATACTGGATATATACTAACGCCAGATCTATCGCGGTTAGGTGATCGGTCAGCGAGAAAGAAGTCTAACCTGTGTGTAGAATTGGACAGCAATAACTTTCGCTATTATTGACACGAAGTATATTTAGACATAGAATATTGAAATAATAAATTAAATAAATTAATAAACTATTGAAGTTATAATTCGAGTCTCTCTGTTTGTCTGTCTGTCTGCATGCCTGTCTGCCTCTCTCTATCACAATTTCATTGAGATGTACGTTCCTCTCCTTTATTTCACGAACTGTTTTCAAAATAAATCCTGATTTTCTTCGAGTCTATTTTTCGAATCTACATATTCATAAATGTGCCTGTGATTATGAAGGTTGTCTAAGTTACTTATATTTTCTTCTGAAATATTGGAAGCTTCATAAATTATAAAATTAATTGCGATAAAACTACAAATTCAATCCAACGACTCAATTCTTCACTGTTTCGTAGAAAATAAATATATTTTATCGTAATATAAATGAATGCAACACGAAATAAATAATAAAATCGTTCCTCTTAAGTCAATGACTTAGACCACTTTCATGATTATGGGCACAAATGTGCCTCTAACCTTGTATTATATAACAAAATAATATATAACAAAATTTGAAATTCGAAATTTACTACACTTTTGTATAATAAAATATATAAGACTTATTGTGGATTTGTTAGGTTAGGTTAGGTGGAGGATAGGATATAAATGTACCACCAATCTTGTGTTATTATAATATATAATAAAATTTGAAATTCGAAATTTACTATACTTTCTTATAATAAAATATATAAGATTTATTATGGATTTGTTAGGTTAGGTTAGGTTAGGTTAGGTGGTGGATATGATATAAATGTACCCCTAACCTTGTATTATTATAATATATAACAAAATTGGAAATTCGAAATTTGCTATACTTTCGTATAATAAAATATATAAGATTTATTATGGATTCGTTATTTTAGGTTAGGTTAGGTTAGGTGGTGGATATGATATAAATGTACCCCTAACCTTGTATTATTATAATATATAACAAAATTGGAAATTCGAAATTTGCTATACTTTCTTATAATAAAATATATAAGATTTATTATGGATTTGTTAGGTTAGGTTAGGTTAGGTGGAGGATATGATATAAACTTAATTAGATTTGACAATATTCCATAATAAATCTGATATATTTCATTAGAAGATAATATAGTGAATTTCGAATTGAATCGAGTAATCGACTAATTATTTATTTTTAACAATTTAACGTTTACTATTTACTGTTATGCGTTTCTCGGTTCCCATCGGAGCTCGCTGCCCCCGTGTATCTACACCACTGTCAGGTACTTCGGATTCTCGGTGCAAACGCATCCTAGAAACCGATCGCGGAACGTTTTCCGTTTCTCGACAGCTCGAAAGTGCCGGCCATAAAGACGAAGGGCACCGGTAACTGCGTAGAATGCATTGCGCGATCGCACTTGGCTGCGAATAAATCTTTGATCGAAGTCGTGCCGATTCGTCGGTCTGTATCACTCGGATAAAGCGTTTCTAATCGTCGTGAACATTCCCTGGCGAAAATGTTACGCCACTGGGTGGCACAGTATCGACGAGTGCCTCGATCGGTGTCTTCGTGGTTGGTCAACGAGAGATCTTGAGATCGACGTGAACACGGTGGATCTCAATATCTGGTACTTTCCAAGTTTGATTTTCTGACGTTGTCACGTGGAACTTTCACTAATTCGGCCTTTGATGTACACGGATTATAATGTGTTATCGTGTCTACGTTCTTCTCTGTATTACTCACTGCTTTTGAGATTCGAATTTTTCTTTATTTCTTTATGTACATATTCTCCTCTTCTTTTTTAAAATTTTAATAGGTGGAATTTTTATTCAATTTAGATAATAATTTAGATAATAATAATTTTAATATTCCTCTTTATAATTTATTCTATATATTTCTTTGAGTGAATCCAAATTATAGTAGGAAATTGTATATGTTGCATATGTTTTATATGTGTATGTATTTGGATAATAATTTATTTCCTAATTTCTAATTTTTATATTCCTCTTTATAATTTATTCTATATATTTCTTTGAGTGAATCCAAATTATAGTAGGAAATTGTATATGTTGTATATGTTTTATATGTGTATGTATTTGGATAATAATTTATTTCCTAATTTTTAATTTTTATATTCCTCTTTATAATTTATTGTATATATTTTTTTGAGTGAATCCAAATTATAGTAGGAAATTGTATATGTTGTATATGTTGTATATGTTCTTCTCTGTATTACTCACTGTTTTTGAGATCCGAATTTTTCTTTATTTTCGTATATACGTATTCTTCTCTTCTTTTTAAATTTTAATAACTGGAATTTTTATTTAATTTGGATAATAATTTATTTCCTAATTTTTAATTTTAATATTCCTCTCCATAATTTACTATACATATTTCTTTGAGTGAATCAGAATTATAATAAGAAATTGCGTATGTATTTTTCTCTTCATTATTCACTGTTTTTGAGATTCGAATTTTTCTTTATTTTCGTATTCTTCTTTTCTTTTTAATTTTAATAGGTGAGATTTTTATTTAATTTGGATAATAATTTATTTCCTAATTTTTAATTTTAATATTCCTCTTCGTAATTTATTGTATATATTTCTTTGAGTGAATCAGAATTATAATTATAATATTCTTCTTTATAATTTACTGTACATATTTCTTTAAGTGACTCTGAATTATAATAGGAAATCGAGTATATGTTCTTCTTTATTTATTTTCGTATATACGTATATATATATTCTTTTTTCATTTTAATAGGTAGAATTTTCAATATAGTTCAAATAATAATTTATTTCCCAATTTTTAATTTTAATATTCTTCTTAATAATTTGTTAAATATGTTCCTTCTTCCTTTCCTTCATACCTCTCTCCTAATTTTAATATATAGTATTTTTGATTTAATATGAATGTTAATTTCTTATAATTAAAATATATAACAGGATAGAGACGAGTGTATTTTTCTTCATTTTCATGTACGTATATATTTCTTTAATTCCAATCTGTGGTATTTTTGATTTAATACAAATGACAACGTTTTCAACATACGTAGTATGCATGGAATCTTACAGGATGACCAGAGCTTGCCTCGAAAGTGTCTGAATCTCAACGTCTCACGTCTGTCCCTCAATTAATCCTTATTTTTCACGGTTCCCAGCCTCGAACGTCCACCGCCCAATTCTTCGAGTTCTCAGCGCACGCGATCCATAGTCGAACTGGCTGAAGCTCCGTTTACAACGGGCTGCATCTCCACGCGTTTGCACGTACACTGCCAATCCTTCGACCACTGTCAATGGAAAAA